TATCTAATTTAATTTCCTTTTTTTTTTTTTTAGCCTCAATATTGGAAAGGAAATATTTTCTATGAGGTTCAGGCTAGCCCATTGCCTGAAAGACTGAGTTCATGGTGTTATCAGGGACTAAGGAGCAAATAAATCTGGAGCAAAAAGTATACAAGTACGGAGCATGGGAACCAAGACCTATCAAGAACAGCACAACAGATTAGAAAATGTAAAAGGGGAGGGAGATGGAGATGGTTAAGGAAGCAGTGTGTGTGTGTATGCATGCATACACATATACATACATATACATACACATGAGAATTATTTTAAAGATATTCCCAACACAGTAGAATAAATTGATTATCAGTTGTGGGAATGAAGAGGAAGTTTAACAATTAAAGTTGGTTAAAATGGACAAATATCCCTTTATGTAAGCAATTAGTTTGCTATGAAGTGCAGATAAATATTAGAATGAACTGGATGTGGGAATAGCCAGCATGAAAGAGTGCACTGTGACATCACAACACACATTTCACCATTTTTGTCATCTTTGGGATTTGGAATGGATGCCTATGACAGCTGGCATTTGAAGGCACCAGAAACAGCCTATGACCGTGCTTGGATTAGGCCACCTGGTTCATACTGCCATAATCACATGACACCTCACGTCATTCCCCTACGTGCCAAATTCAGTCTCTAAAAATGCTGATTAACCCAAAGACGTTTTCAAGCATCTGAAGTTGGAGGTTTTAAAAAAGAAAGACCAACTGAGAAAGAAATCAAGCAACTTAAAAGAGGAAGAAGAAAGAGGAAAATTGATTATTAGAGCTCTGCATAATCTTTGTTATTCCCTGCTCCATTTCTATGTTAACTCCTCCAAGAGGAAAAAACAAAAAAACAAAAGACAAAAGAGGAAGAGACACACTATAGTATGGAGCTATAAAGTATGGAGAGAAGCATTTTTTCTTTCTTTTCTTTCTTTCTTTTTTTTTTTGACTTGATAAATCATTCCCGGATTCACATTAAAGTCAAAATGTATCACTTAGAAGCAGACCACATTATTTAACTTAATCATGGGCACTGGGCCATTGGAAGGTGTTTTTTTTCTTTAAGGGAATAAAAGCTCAGGCACATTTTTCATCAGGATCATGCCAAGAGAGAGAAGTGTTAAACTGCTTCTTCCACGTGTTGCAGTAAGTAAAATTGCCTTCAAGTCAAAGTTGGCTTCTGGTGACTTCAGGGATGTGGCTATATAGCCATTTGGCAAGAATACAGGAATGGTTTGCCACTGTCATCTTCTGGAATGTTTTTCCAGCTTCCCAGCCTAACCTATAGCCCTGGTATTGGCAGTCTTCCATCCAAGTCCTAATTAGTCTGGTTCTGCTTTGCATTTCAAGATTATTTGTGGTCAGCTAGATGGTGCTGCAAGGTGCAGTTGCAATACAAATTTCTTCCCAATTGTTTTAATTAAAAGAAACTGGCATGCTTCCAGGTGAGACATTAAGAGCCACACATAGAAACTGTTTTTAAATGTCCATAGCCTATAGATGGTAATGGAGAAAAAATATTTAAGACTAGATTTTGGAGAATGTGGCTTATTATAGCCCTGAAATAAAGTTCATACTCAATATCCCTGGTTCAGCTGCCAGAGGTTTACAATATTCCTGACGGACCTCACAATAATATGTATTAATTCCCTGTAGTAAATTAGGACTTAGGCTCAAACTAAGACAGTGATTAAGCACAACTCTGTAGTGCTCTATGTAACTTTTTACACATACGCACCCTTTGCCCAGGTTAATATTATAGAATACAAGAATTTTGCAGTGTAGTTCACTGTTACTCTTCTTGTCATATGGGGAAGAATAATCCTGTCTTCATAGTTAGCTATAAATCAGATGCGAAGGTGAGGTGGGTTGAGATCTCCAGGCAACCTACTCCTGCCCACAATACCTCTCAGGATGCCCTTCTCGAGACTCCTCCAAGGCCAAAGCCAACAATCAACTGCATGCTGGAATTTTATGCACCCTTGACTTGCATGCAGTCTAAATAGTAATAGGTTTGTACATGGAATAAAAATGAAACTGGAACCGGCCCCCCTCCTCTCTTTGACACTAGTTCATACAACCTGGGAAGAGGTTGCAGGGCTTTTGTACCAAGCGTGCACTTCTTCTACAAAGGTGATCACATTCTGGAAAAGCTGCACTCTTGATCCAGGAGGCAGCTCCAAGGGTTTCACACACACCACACAGGAAATCCAGTGTTTTGTTGCAAGGAGCCAAATCTCCACCTCATTCTGCAACTGCCAGCAAGAGGGATTTTTTTGCTTCAGGAAGAATAGGCATTCATATGATTGTCTCCAGCCCTTTGTTTTCCTATTGAGAGGAAAACCTTTGTATTGGAAGGCTGACTTTCTACCACTCTCCCACCTTCCAGTCCCATAAACTAAAAATAACCAGAGGTAAGAATGACACTTCAGCCAAACAATTTAACCCTCCATTAGCTATGGCTTGTGGCTTCAGGAGGTAGCCATGGGATTGTCACACACATGTCTGCTAGGTCACAGAGAAGCAGCTGCTTACACGTGGAGGAAACTGCTTCAGCGGGTCAGCCTCTAGTAAAAAATGGAACTAGTTCCCCCCTCCCCATTTGTAAACAGTGGCTCCAATCCAAACAGCTGGATTCAATTCTACTTTTATTGGAGACATTTTGCATGTTCTTGCTAGCAGGAGGCCTACAACTACAAGTACATGGATGCATTAAGGTATGTGACAACAACAGGATACTTTTTAAAGAAAGAACAACGTTGCTGAAATCTTGAGGCAGGGTGGGAAGAGCAGATGCTTCAAGCTTCCTCTCTTGTCTGTCATTTCCTCCCAGATCCTGATATTCTGTTTCTAAGATATTGTCTAATAGAAATTCTTCTCAAAATTATTTCTCAGGCTGGTATGTCGGAGCATGGAGTGGACAGTGAAGCTTCAAGGAATTCCTCACATGGTGCCTGTAGATGCACTACCAGTGGCTGGACAAGTTACAATAGGAGAGCTTAAGAGAATGGCAAAGGTAAAAAGCTGCTAATGGATGCAAAGCACCACAACTACCTCCAAGAGCCAGGAGAAGGATGAACAAGTCTCACAGTGAGACTGTCCTACTAGCATCTTTTTAAAAAAAAAATTCTGAAAGGTCTGGTCTGGGGATAGAATGTTCATTTGAGCCCCACAAACACACTTCTCCCTTGGTTCTATGTTGACTTGTTTTCCCTCCATTGCTTTGGTCCACTGAAGTTAATGGCCCAGAAAACAAAAATGGAAGGGGAAACTCAACATAGTAACACAACCCTTCAGATTATATTTTAACTGATTAATTGTGCTCTCTTCAATGAAAAATATTGATCCATCTGATCAAGATTGGAATTGCTCTTATTGCCTTCCCCCTTAAAATAAGTTGTGTGTTCTACTATTAATGAATGAAATGACTGTTTAATCATTAAACAGATTTCTAATAGTGTTGGCATGTATACTCACATACACATACCCTTTAAATACTGCATTAATCTAGAGCAGTGAAGTCCAGACCTCTTAAAGTTGCTAAGGCTGAAAAACACTAATCTAGAATATCTCCCCCTCCATCAGTTACCTTTAAAATAAAAAGGTCATTTTAGAGTTCAATTGCTTTTGAAGGTACAGTAGAGGCTCATTATCATCACCGTTATCTTCTGGAGGGGCAGTTATCTTACATTCAGGATCATCTCACTTTTAAGATATGTCCTTAGACTCAGATGTTTCTGAAATGGACTTCTATTCTCTGTCCTTGGGTATCTAAATACTGGGGGAGGGGGGAAGCTGGGAAGCATTTGTACCTCCCCTTGGATAGAGTCATTGTTGGGGTCACACCATAGGATAGGGGCAAAATCAGAAGGATCAGGGCAAACCAGATCAGCAGCCCGTCTAAAAGAAAAATTCCA